ATTTGACTTACTGACACATGAAGTTCATTATGAAGAAATCATAGATGCATATTTCTCCGGCTCTATCATAGTATATGAAGGGCACTGACATAGGAGAACGATGGTTTTTCAAATGTGAATAAGCTATATTGTAAGCTTAAGACCATCACTTTGACGTCAACAGCCTGAGATGCTGATTGTCGAAATTCAAGAGTTGAAGGATTCATTGAATCAACCTTGATACATGTGTTTTGATTCATAAATTGTTGATCCATGATTTCTAAATCTAGAGAAGCTGGCACACAAGTTGTTGCCAATGTCTTCAGGAAAGCATCTGAGCAAAGGATTGCCAGTTGTGCCATTAAACATCGAATTCCATGAACAGCAAAGCCGAGTGAGTAAATCAGCCACTCTAGCTAATTGCCCGTCATTCCTTCCAGGTTCATGACAAGAGACAATTCATCAAAGTCATACATCAATGCATAAGTCACATGCATGGTTGCACAGTTTGTATCCGAATGCAACCCCATTAAGGTTAAGCATCTTGACAGTAACTCTGGCCAACCAAAAGCCTTCCTGTCTTCGGATATCTTGAGTATTCTCATTTCCAGTTCCATTATGGACTAGGAAGCATCATGACTGTGCCTCGCCAGGACACTAATTCTCAAAGCCGCACACTTGAGGCGAGCCTTATGAGATAGTGACCTTTGGCTTGTGGGGCGTCAACCCCTTATCAAATCCTGAACACTTGTTAACACCTGATAAATATATCATGATGCAACTTAAGTGGGATTATAAGTTCCACATAATCATATTGTCTATGTATGCTGAAGGCATAACTGCCGCATATGATCACAATAGGTCGCAGCTTCTATAACATTGTGGCTTCTGAGTCAAAAGCTGATAGCCAATGACTTTTGCCAATAAATGCCGACCTAAAAATAATCAGGCCGTGGAAACATGTACCCAAGAGGTTTTCATCCATCGGTCGCATAAATATATCAGGGCTGCATCCCAAGAACTGCAGGGCTGCATCCCAAGAACTGCGATGCATCTTCGGTGCAATGGGCTGCAACCCGAGAACTGCAGGGTTATATCCCTAACATTTTTTACCCTGCATCAAATTGATATGACAGGAGCAGGAATTGATCCTTCCTTGCTAAGGTGTAGTGAGCCTTGTATAAATCATACCCTTACACAGATACGCATATGCGGGTACCAATATCTGTGAAAAAACTGCTAAATGCTACCTTTGCCAAAACCGTGGTTTGTCATCGGATTCTTGGCCAGTCATCCGAAGCTACCGGAGATATTGACTGAGGTAGAAGGAGTTGTGATCCTAAGTTGTGCTTGACAAACATAACTAAATAAATTTCACATTAGTACGTGGCGAATCCATTCTCACTCATCGCGATAGATGTTCGTCAAAGCGTGCGTACTGGACAAAAATATTGAGGAGTTGAGCAGACCGGTTAAGGATTATAAATCCAATTCCGTTAAGCAGGGCCACTCCGTTTGCATTAAAACAAGCCCCTTTGTTCGTTTATTATCGAAATCGGGCTCCCCATTCACGGGGAAGCCGATTTCCCCCCCACTGTATGGGGGCCTGCTTCTCCTTGCGTCACCCCTCACTGTGTGTGGCATGTGTCACCCGTGACCGTGCCACCGTCACGTTAGCCTTCCCCGTTTAGACAGTCCGTATGTCTGCCTAGCTAGTTTATGCTATCACATTCCGAGCACCCGCCACTGTGTGTTTTCTGACTGCTTCGTATATATACACCTTATATATATACACCGATATCACCGTTTCTATCAGGTTATCGACCCACATCACGCTTGGTGGTGTTCGGTTTGGCTTGACTCGCTTTGGCTTTCCGCCGATTCTACAATTCCCTTTACTTCCTTTGGGCGTTCATCGGTTTGAGTGCAGCCGCCTCATCCAACTTCCTTGCCCGACTTCGCGTGGTTCCTACCGTCTGTGACTGGTTTTACGTGATCTCCCTCGGCCAAACTTCCTTTGTTTACTTCCTTCATTCTGGCCGCCTACTTCCTTCCACCAACGCTCTGGCCAGCAGCGCCTCTGCTGCCGGAAAACTGGCTTACCTTACGGCATTTTTGACGTGACCGCCGTGTTCCTCGTCAAAAACTGACCCAATTTGACTCCTACATCGTCCGATTCCGTTAATTTTACAAGAAGTTACGTTATCACCATCAACCCAAACGTCCACTCGACTTTCTGACTAGCAGCACCCCTTCTGGCGGGAATACGGGTTACCGTACGACGTTTTTGACATTACCCTCGTTTTCCTCGTCAAATTTCACCCCAATTTGACTTCTCCATCGCTTGGTTTGGTTAATTTTTCGAGGAGTTACCTTTCACCCACGAAACCCTATCGACGCGCCTTCCAGATTTTGCAGACGCAGAGATCATGGCCTCGCTACGCCAGCGTGCGCGCATGGCCGCAGTTCGGTCTGCACTGGACTTGCTTCGACGACAGCATCTTCCCTTTGGCTGTGGTCTGGTGGTGCCTGGTGGTGCTTACACACCAAGCACCAAACTCGAGTCCATCGCGTTCGCCATCAACAACGAGTGCTTTGACTCCTTCGACTTCGTCCCTCCACTCCCTTCGCCCTCGCCTTGCACCCCACCTGTTCACCATCTAGTGGTGTGTGGTGATGTTGCCACGCCCACTTCGCCCCTCACCATCGTTCCTTTCGAGCCATTCCCAATGCGCTCAATCGCGCCCCCTTACCGCATTTTTCACCTTCCACCTCCCCAACCCCTTCTCATCGACGCATTCGCTCTGGTGGTGCCAGGCTACTTTTGGCTTTGGCACCGCACAGGAGTTGGTTGATTCGTCGTCTGGATGCCCCTCGACATCTTCGAGGACACCGCCGCCACCACTTAGTGAATACGCGGCCACATCGCAACCGACATGTTAGTGAACTAGTCTAGACCTTCGCCGCAATTATCTTGCAGAGTGACACCGCATCTTGCTAGCTGTTAGCTAGCTGCAATGGTCCCTTGAACTCTGACATTACGTGACATTGGGTTTAGGTTTTAGGGTTTGCTTGCTCTAGGATTGCCACTCACACCTTCGGGGTGAGGTGGTGTCACGGGGAAGCCGATTTCCCCCCCATTGTATGGGGGCCTGCTTCTCCTTGCGTCACCCCTCACTGTGTGTGGCATGTGTCACCCGTGACCGTGCCACCGTCACGTTAGCCTTCCCCGTTTAGACAGTCCGTATGTCTGTCTAGCTAGTTTATGCTATCACATTCCGAGCACCCGTCACTGTGTGTTTTCTGACTGCTTCGTATATATATACACCTTATATATATACACCGATATCACCGTTTCTATCACCCATCACCGCCTAGGATCCTCCAAAGTTGCTTAAGGAGGGGAGGAAGAGTTGGGTGCACTATATTAGGCCGAGAATCGTTCGAATATAATTCGTTATAATCGTGGGATCATCGATCGCGCAAAAGCGACGACGGCTAGCGCAAATAATCCGTAACGTAGACTTCGGATGCTTTGAATCGTCTAGCACATACATGATAACGTGTGGATCAATCAGTAATCCAGCGTAGGATTGTATCGCGAAAACGCTCTTCATTGAACCTTGGAACGTCACTCAACGATACGATTTCCGGAAAGGTGGGCTACATCCTAAGGACTGTATGGCTAAATGCCTAAGGTGAGGGACTAAAGTGGACTCAGTTCCCCCCAATAACCTAAAAACACCATGAGGGACGCCTCAAATCGGTGTAAGAAGACTGGTACCAGCAAGAAGCGACAACAACAAAGACATTAAAGACATATACAAAGGTATGCCCGTTGTGAGGTCACAACTCTCTTAAGAGGGGAGATCTGTCAGGGTTATGACCGATGACATATGTGTCATACATGTCATACGTGTCATACCTGTCATCCATGTCATGTCATGTCATGTCATATATTATTATGACAGTCGACAGTATGGTCGATCATGACTGTACAGGTCGAGTCGCGTCATACATTTATGACAGTCGTCAGTACGGTCGACTATGACATGTACAGTCGTACCATTTGTCATTCACTCATCTTGAGTGACACCTGTCATTGAGAGGCCAGGTTGTGGCATCGAGATGACAAAGCAAGATGAAGTCTTGAAGAACCGGAAGTGTTCGGAGAAAACTCATCTTCGCTTCTAGCATGTTCTGAACAAGCATGCGAGTATCATATGGCTTATTCGTTCAGCCGATACTGATTGTTCAACCAATGCCTTGGGTTCACAACCCAATTGTGGTGGCATCTAAGAGATGCGGGGCATTGCGTAAAATGAGGTAGCGTTGGGCTACAGCAGTCACTTCTGAAGAAGCACTGCACTCATACCCACACAGACGCTGCGTGAGCTATTAACGTTCCATAATAGCCTCGCTATATATCATATATCATATCGCTTCCAAGCGAACCCTTAAGACAAACATACGGACTGACTAACTAGACGAAGGCTAACGTGACGGAGACACGGTCACGGGTGACACATACCACACACAGTGAGGGGTGACGCAAGGAGAAGCAGGCCCCCATACAGTGGGGGGGAAATCGGCTTTCCCGTGAGCGATCTAGAATCTGGAATCTTTTTTGCATGAAGCGCCCTCGCGCAAGCCCAACCTTGATTTGCGCTTCACATTATTAACGTTGTTTATGAAATAACATCTCATGAGGCTCCGAAAAATTCTCGTATCCAAGGGATCCGGTGAAAGGCAAGATCCGGCTACGTCGTAGCCCGCCGCCGAAGGCGGGATCCGGCTACGTCGTAGCCCGGCGGCGGGCTCTTCGCCGGCGGGCTCCGTCGAAGACGGTCCGGCTCCGTTGTTGACACTGTCACAGGCGAGGCGAGGTTGAACATCGCACCGAGACATGCAATGGCAATATAGAAATCGAAATTTCGTCAACCTCGGGCGTGGACGTTATAAGGGCTCAGTGGTTAAAATTAGAGATGTGGTCGGCAGTGTTACAAATATAGCTGAACAGCTGTCCCCGCCGGGACTCGAGCCAGGGTCTCTGTTGCATCAAAGCAGGATTTTAACCACTAAACTACGGAGACCTTAATGGACCGACTGCCAGAGGGAGATTTTAATCCCAAAAGCATGACATGGACATAACATGTAGAATAGAGAGGTTCCGCAAAGTGGACAGAGAGTTAAGCGCGGAGAGTTAAGGGCATATCGTGTCATAGATTCCGTCGAACGCGATGGTCATGCGTCATAACTCGATCATACTTCTTAACTCTTAACTCTCCGCGATTTCTTAACTCTCTGCCCCCACTGTTAAGCTTCTCTTAACTCTCCGCCCGATGAACGACGAAGAGTTAAGGTAGACGTCCTAATCGGAAACTGGCTGGATGTAATCGATTTGGAATATTCTAGAATTCCGTTTGATCTAGCGGTCATTCAGATTTACGTGGTGTGTCTCATGCGTTGCTACTGCAGTCGCGTCTCGTATACCACTGCGCCATGGCAGGTTGTGCGTTGTTGCTCATGAAAATAAATGGCGAAGAAGCGAAGAGCGAATAAAGCGACACTTAGAAATGCGAACATCGCAACGCGCCACGTCGGTAAAACAATTCATGGCATCGCATTGCCCGTCCGATTCATTTCTCAAGTTCTACGAGCACCGAAATCGAGAATCGAAAGTTCGTCGTTCGTCGTTCGTCGTTTGTCGTTTGTCGTTCATCGTTCATTATTACTGCGGAAGCGATTTTGCCAAAACGTGAAATGAGCAGAGACTCTCGGAGAGAGTTAAGCGCGGAGAGCTACGCGCGATGACTGTCATCATCGATAACTCTTAACTCTTAACTCTCCACAGCTTTGCGGAACCTCCCTAATTGTAGTGTAGGCCTGTGGTGTGCTGTGTTTATATCAGGGGTGGACAGTTATATCGATTCTTGAGATATAAGCGTCAGCGCTTATATAACCGTGGGTCGAGGTGATATAATGGTAATATCGACGCTTATATAAGCGTCGATATAAGCGTCAACGCTTATATTATATCGACGCTTATATAAGCATAAACACGCTTATATAAGCACAATTTAATGATTATAATCCCCTAAATTTAGCAGTTCGTGGGCGAATTCAGGATTTTCTATATCTGATTTTATTTAGTGATACGTCATACAAGTTGAATATGACAGTGCACAGTGTGTAGACACATATTCAAATCAAAAAGCCAAGAAAATATATAAAAGAAAATAAATCAAACATTTACTAAAAGCCATAAAAGTACCAGTATAATATATCAGCCCAGGTGGTGGTGATATAAGCGCTTATATCGCCGATATAAGCGCTTATATGCCGATATATGCGCTTATAGTTATATAAGCAAAGACGCTTATATCGGATATAATATAAGCGTCTTTTTGGCCTGATTTTCGACGCTTATAGTTATATCCCCATTAGCGATATAATCGGCTTATATAAGCCAAACGATTATATACCTGTCCACCCCTGGTTTATATGTCGCTGTCGCTGTCGCTGTTGTCACAGGGGGGCCCATGGGGGGGCCGTTATTATTCCGTTGTCTCGTGCTACGAGCGCAAGTTGAAGTTCCAACATCCAAGTATCCGGTATCGTCCCGTTAAAAGTCGCGTTCAAAAACTAGTAAAAAAAACAAAAAGTCGACGCGGACGAGAAATTGCCGTATATTTCTCAGGCGCAATATTGTTTAGTCAATCATGGAAGATTTCAGGGAATGCAATGACACTAAGAGAAAGCGAGAAGTCGACATCGAAAGCCCAAGGAAGAGGAGTCGACTTGCCCGTCTATTTCGAAGGAGGAGATCTGCCGTCCAGTCGGATCCGGTTGCAGAAATTGAGCTCGTGAAGACGGCTTTCAAGCAAACAGCGGCCCATGAATTTGATGAATTTTCTCCCCAGGCTGTAAGCTGCGAAGCATCACGGGTTCACCAGAGTCCTGTCCAGACTGCCGTGCCTGATACGCTCGCTGTTCCCCTAGGCGACGCAAATACATCTATGCTAACGCCGTCGAATAGAATAGTCACCTTGGTCAGCAATGCCTTAAATGTTGCAGAACATGACATTATGTGCGCGGCCGGACTCGCTGATTCCGATGACGAGGATACATACACCGAAGAGATGCAGGGCGGTATACAGGATGTAGCCGTTGAGCAAAAGCAGAAGCAACTGATGTTTTCAACAAGCACAAGAATTCCGCACGTATTTTCCCCGGAAACTGATACACCTCAGCATACGCCGGCACCTGCTCAAACGATCCACTGTATAGAAACGCACGCACAGTTGGGGACTCCTTGTCCAGAAACCACGTCAGAAAGTCTTGACTCTGCAACCGCAGTCACAGAAGAATCAAGCTTGCAGAAAGTCGTGGCAGCTGTGAATAGAAATCCCGAAACAAATGAAGAGTTGACAGTGGACAATAATGACGGAGAGCTGCCGCGCTCAGCTCAACCCCCAGGATGTTCTACGGATATTCCGATATCCAGCACCCCTCAACAGCAGCAGCCACACGAACTTGCTCGACGGATGAAGATACTCCGTGCACAGCAACGGGCGCACCGGCTTTCTCATTCAATTTCCTCCGAGTTGCCAACTTCTGTTCGTCGCGACACAAGTAGCTGCCCCACTACACCGGGAATTCGTCTTTCTCCAACATCATTTGTAAGCCTCCCTGTATCACCATCAGCGCGGTGCCAAAAACTGGGTGCGGCAGCTTCTTGTGTGCTGGACGAGAACGGCGACTGCGTTGAGGCTGCGCATCCTTCTAGAAGGGAGGATTTGGAACTTGTGACCAAGTTGCAACGCCAACACTCGCGAAACACTGGTAGTGAAGACCGCTTGGATCTTTCTCTTGACCCGCGAAGTTGCGCTGCAAGCGACGACTACTTTCGTCGTACTCGCCTCGCTGAAGCGGTGCCTCCCAGTCATGTGGGCTTTACATTTCAAATTCCTTGCCTTGAGTGTGCTGCTTGAGATTTCTGTGTCGAAACTGTACCTTCCGCCTCACAACTTGCGAAATTTGGGCTGTTGTCTTTGCGTTTCGTCAATGTCGAGCTGAGACACGCTTTTAACGAAATATGTTCCTCTCAGGTTACGAGACAGACTTCGAAGGAAGGTATCAAGGAAGACCCCGAGTTCGAGTTGAAGCTCAAACGCCGCCGCAGTGGCGTTGGTCTGCCCCTGGTCAACGTAGAGGTCGACATCTCTGCCAATCGTCTCGTGTTCTCCCATCGCATTGAAGCCCTTCAATTGTCGACGTTACAGAAACCTGCTCCCCAGATACCAAGCCTCGGACCTTCAGCGTTTCATAATTTCCCGACCGGAATGAACCTGGGAGTACTGCCTTCGCAGGAGCATAAGCAAATCGATCCGAACGAACTGGACGGCGTCAGTGAGGAGCTTGGTGGGAAGTTGAGGCGGAGGCGAAGTGGTGTGGGTTTGGCCATAGGTGCTGTGCAGGTAGGCTGTCTGTCCCGTCCGAGAGAACCGGTACTCTGATGGGCGGAGCGGTTGAACTATCATATCAATCACCGGGACAACGAATATTGGAGTCTTCCTCAGAAGCCTAGTGAGAAGTGTCCGATTACCCTCTTTGCCGCAGGAGCCGAAGACTTCGAACGTGGATGAGCTCCAGGGCGCTGGGGAGGAGCTTGGTGGTAAGCTGAGGCGGCGGCGGAGTGGGATGGGGCTACCTTCCTTGATCGTGAAGGTATGTGCCAGAGCTTAGTGGATGGCAAGCGTTGTTCGTCTGTGCCCGGCAGCTCTCCGATATTGTGCCAGAGCTTAGTGGCCGGTTACTGTTGT